GTTAGAGAGCTGACTTGCAGTGGACTGCAAGTTACTTGTGTTGGTTTTGTTCAAATACTCTGGTTTTCCACCACAGTCCATGTTGTTTAAAAATAGTTTCATTCATGATGTTAAATGGCAATACGAGGTTGTTTTGTTCTGTGTCATGGTGTCAGATCCTGTAGTAGAATTTACAATAGTTTACTGAAAGTATAGACTTAAAAAAGAGAGGGTTATTTTAGTTTCAAATTAATAGTGAACTTTAAACAGTTGTAGCTTACAATAGAGGACTTATTTTACAGATCAATATTTCACTGTTATTTATTTATTTAGTTCTATTTAAATTGGGACAGTGTATATTAATTATTGCATCGACAAATCCTTTAACATAATATGCGTTAGCACCGGAGAAAAGCAGACACAGACACAAAACATGTCAATAGACTACTAAGAGAATTAAACTAGAATTAATATTTATCTATGGTTGTATGTCGAGGTTGTTTTCCACCAAATTTTCAGGACTCATTTGAAGGTTAAGTAGTGTCCTCAGTTTAGGATATTTTATGGCAGAGTGTTCCATGTTATTATCAGTTATTTGCATATTAATTGTTTGATTGAAAATGTTTTTTTCTTTTATCATCATTTATAACGGTGTTGGCAATTTCGTATTCTTTTTTATTAGTAATAATTAAAATCATTGTTATTAATCATTTTTTCCCCTGATTATTTTTTTTTTTTGTTTTTCGATTGTCCATATCTCTTATAGCCATGTGGGTACCAAACTAAAGCAAAATAATTTTTTTTTAGTACAGACATTTTTGCTAAGTGTGCAGGTATGAATTTCTACATTTTACTTTTAAGTGTACTAAGACTTTTTTCAGGCATGTGGCATGTACCAGGGCTTGTTTCTGACCCGACCCATTCACAACCTCTCCAAAGTATACAGATTGCAGAATATTTGTTTGAAAACAAAGAAGAAGCACTTTTTTTTTTTTTTTTACCAGAACACTATCTGTAAATTTACATGGCAGCTGGTATATCAGATGGGGGAGAAAATGATGGGTAAATATATGATTGTAAAGTTTACCTGCCAATATAAAGACTCAACGGAGAAGAGTTGGTTGTTCACAACACAATTCTGAACAGTCCTTCACTAACCAACAACATTGAGGTTGGACCCTGCAAGTTAGAATGAGTGCATCCAAGGGGAACCTGATGCTGCAAAAATGCCTTTGACATATGTTTAGGGAAAAGATAAGATCAGAGGTCGTACATAAATACAATGCATTAATTATTTTTTATGTTTTCAATTTAGTCAGAGAAGTTAAACATTGCTTCCACATGGCGGAAGGAAACTACCAATAGTCGAATTTCAGAAATGCAATCAAAAATGAAATTGTTGATATGTATTTCTTAACAGTACAATGTATAAAATTAAAGGTTAAAAGGAATAACCTCTATTTTTCATCACAGCTTCCATGTGTTTCACTCTTCACCGGTGCTTTACAATGCTGTTGGTTCAGCTTATCATCTAATCAGTGCCTCATTAAGCAGAATGATATCTGTTTGCATTGAAATTCAACACTACTCTGTAAAAGCTAATATACATACAGAGATGATGATTGAAGAAAGAGAATGTCTTCCAGTGCTGTATATTTAATTTTTGTCTAAGAATAGATGCCATTCTGCACAATAATTATACATATGACCACTACATTGTTTATAAAGACATATGTAAAGACAAGACCTTTATAACATTACATATATAGATATTTACGGCTTCATCTTCTTTAAAATTTCAAGTGAAATTGGTATTACTATAAATAAATGTTCAATATTTAAAATAATTATTTTAGTATGACAATAAGCAAAAAATTCTTGTTAGAATCAATTCAATGGCTTTACATAAAATTAATTTCAAGTGAGTTATTTCTGTAGTGCTCATCTCAAGGTACTTTCTCAAGACAAACAGGTCACATTCACTAACGGGCATATAGAGGGATATGATAATTACTCTTGATAGTGGTAATTTCTGTTTATTGCAATAGTTGCAAAACCACATAAACTAAATGTGGACTTTATGTCTGTACTGTGAATGATTGCAACATTGTCCTACTGTCATCATAACAACCCTTAAGGTCTTAAAACCATCCCATATTGTTTGCAGGGTTTTAGATTACAATCTTCCCATGGTTTAAGCTGACTCCATTTCTGTTTTTGTATAAGATGTGGAATTAACTTAAAAACTATGTAGTTTTTAATGCAGCAGTCACTCTCTTTGATCGTTCAGGGTAAAACAGTGACATAAAAACATTGCAACTACAGTATGGATTTTATGCCAGCACACAATGCTCCAAACACCCTGGCAACTCATCTGCCTGCTTAATGCCACACAGTTTTAACTGTGTGATTCCAGGGACAAAAAAATACCCTGAGTCCTAGCCTGCATGCCATTTGAAAAAAAACAAAAAGCACAAAAACATTTCTCATAGCCATACTGTAGGAATTCCTATTTCCTCTTTCACTTCTGACCTTGCACAGCGGAAGAATCTGTGTGTAATGTAAGGACAATATATAGAACACAAAGACTGATTTAAAACCCAACACAAAACTTCCACTAAACAACCACATTTTGAACTCTGCAGGAAGATTAAGCGGGAACCTTTTATCTTCATCTTTATCCGTAATGTCATTAATCATTTGGGACAATATTATTAAGCCACATTAGTGCCAACATTAGCAACTAGATGCAATAATGAAAACACAACAGGCTCATAAGGCTGAGCATGCCTCATACATTAACAGCTGCCATGGTCACATTAGCATACTTCATTAGTCAATACCTTGGACCAGTCATAGCTGCTTCAGACAACACACAATACTATCTTCACAGATACTCTTCCCCCTTTGGTAGATTTGTTTCAGATTCAAAGAAGATCAATAAAACAAATCCCTCATGATTGTTTGATTAAAGAAAGGATGCTGATCACTTGGTCCGCCTCCTGGTATGATTGATCACTCCCCGCACAAAGGAAGTGGTCAGGAGAATTCTGCATAGTGACAGCATGATCAGACAAAGGGGAGAAGTCATCACTAAAAACTAAAAGCATCCAAAAAAAATATCTTGAATCCAAATTCCACAAAGACGGTCAAGCATAGGAGAAAAAAGAACAGGGAGAAACAGGATGTGGACTGAAGTTATGATAAATAAAAACATTGATTTGTGACTCATGCATGGGGACTGTGATAGCTAGGGAAAAGAGGAACATGTTTTTCATGTAGCATTTCATTTTTGTTATACAAATGGCTGCTTTTCGACAAAACAATCTCTTCCTTAAAGCTTCAAATACACTTTACAGTAAGTGAAAATTTGAAAGCTTTCAAAAAACAGACAAGAATGGGTATGACTGCTGTTTTTAATTAAGCTAATTGTTCAGACAAGCTAATTTATTGTGTTTTCTCAATGATTGCGTGTTATTAGAGATTTTTGTTTACTGACAATATGATGTCAAATGAATCATTGATTTTAGGACCACACAATATATTAAATCACAGTAATCAATACAATATCAGTGTGTTTGATATTTAAATTATAATAGTTTGTTTTATTATATCTTAAAATCTCTTGACTTAATGTTCTTAAAATTTATATTAAAATGGACGTCACTACAAACACAGGCTATGTCAGAGGCTAAGATGGAAAATGTCCTTGTGAACAAAAGGAAACAAAAGAAAAAGAAAATATTTCAATTTCTTAACACCAGTAACATTACATGATGAATCATCCCAAACAATTAAAATGTAATTCTTGTTATTTTGCTTGGAAAAAAAAAAAACTTTCAGGAGTCAAAGTAAAACCATCTAAAGGTGTATTTTGAATTCATTTGCTTCCGGAGCTTCACATTGCATCTAGTATTTTATCTCTATGTCTATTGTCTGTCAGGACAATTTAGGATTATCTTTTGTGGTAGTAAGTCAGTCCCCCATGGATGTTCCTTGAGGTGACATTTTAAGTTTAAATAAGCAGCCAGCATGTCTCTCCTTATTACAGATTTTTTTTTTTTTTTTTTTTAAGATTTTGAATGTATAGTTAGCATTAAAACAGTACTTGCAAGTCACAATTAATACAATCCCAATGTTATAAAATTTAATATACTCAGATATTGTTTTGTATTATAATAATCACAGAAAACTTTAATTATTTCTTTTTTCTTTCCTATAAGCTTCTTTCAGTGTAAGTCATAAAATAAGCCCATGGAAATAAATCACCTGCTCATTTAAATTTACAAGGAACTGAAAGCAGAGTCACCTTTTTCTGCTCCATCTAAGAGCATATCTTATTCATGCCTGCCCAGCGGATCCACTTAGGCTAAAACTGTGAATGCATTCTCTGGTCTAAGTGTTATGGAATTTTGAATCAAAGCAGAGTTAAAGGTGGATTTCTCACATTACATATTAAAGCACAGTTGATCATAGAAACCTTCTAACATCTGAAAAAGAAAACCCCACTGAACATCTGTCTGAAAGAGAACTTTGGCTTCAAAACTGATTACCAACATAAACAGAACTCATTTCTCATTCAAGGAAGGATACAGCTGTCTTTTCATTGTAAACAGAATTAGATGAAGTTCAGAAAAGTCGATTATGCCTGCCTCAGGCAAGGCACAAATTTAGTTCAACTTTATGCTAGAGAAACTTCCTAAATATAACTTAAGCTTGAAAAAGGCTGAGCAATAATTACTTGCTTGCTTGGTCAAGTTTCAGATCAGTGCATAATCTAGGGTTCCACTTTAAGAAAATTGCTCACTGAATTTGATTTATAAACCTATGTATTTAACTGAAACCATGAATTTATTTTTCGAAGAATCCAAATGATCAACTTTCAAATTGTGCAATTTTAACAAAAAAAACAAAGCACTGCAAAAGATTATTTTTTTTTTTTTGTAATAACTACTGGATAAAGTCACTGGAAAACGTACGTTATAAATCCACCAATAAACTTCAATAAATCTATTTCCTACCTTGAGTTTGTCATACCGGTCACTGAGAGCTGCCACTTGATGGTCTCGATGTCGACCGACAAGCTTGCACAAGGCGCATATCAACTGTTCATCTGTCACACAGTACATATTGACCTTCTCATCCTCATGCTCCAAACACATGAGCCCCCGGAGATGGGAGTCCAGCAGAGGTTCGATCAGCCGGTGCCCAGTGAAAGGCTTCTTGTTTGGGTGGGTGGCCTTGAGGCACTCCTCACAGTATGATACCTCGCAGGTAACGCAGGTCTTCACGGCATCCTGCGGGGGGTCCTGCTCACAGAACTGACACTGCACCCGGTCAGTAGGTAATGTCATGGCTTTGCTCTCTGGGTTTACCCTCTCTCGACGAGTCTCGTTAGGTGAGTTGGGCCCGCTTAGAGAGGCTTTCTGGTAGCGGTCTATGATGTTCTGCAGGGTCACGTTGCGTTTCAGTCCCTCTAGGCCTCTCTGGTTGAGAGTAATGACATAGCGACAAGTTGGACACTGGAAGGCGCTGATAGACTGGATAGACTCGCTGGGGGTGCAATGGGAGACCAGGATTCGATGGGCACAATTGAAACAAAGACTGTGAGCACAGGGCAGCAGCAGTGGGTCTTCAAAAAGCTCTAGGCAGATTGGGCAGGTCAGCTCAGACTCTAGTGTTTCCATTTTCAAGCAAAACAAAGAAGGAATGCCAGCAAAATCCAGGGAAGCTGACCAGCTATCTATGAATGACACAAAGAAAAAGAAGGTCAATTGTAATATAAAAACAATTACATAAAAAGGGGTTCAACCTAATTAAAACTAACTGTCCACATTTAGACTTACCTTAAGTTCAGAGAGATCATATAAAGAGACAAAATCAGTAAGCCTAAGAGCTGCCAGTTTACAGAACCATTTCTTATGAAAGCCATTACTGAGGGAAGACGATACTTACTTTTTGGTTAATTTCAGAATCAGTGAGGTGTATGAGAAAAAAACTAAAACATCAAAGAAAGCACATAAAGTTAAGGACCAATTCAGTTCTAAGCTAAATTGCCAAAGACATGCAAATATATGTCTGCGGTTTATTCTGCTAGCAAGAAAGATCAACACTTTTAACAAGAAGGTCAAACAGAGTTTAAAAAAAAAACCACTGTGTTTTTTGAGCTTTTAACCGCAGCGTGTTATGGACAGAGATTTCCCAATCTAATATCAGAAATGATGTCCGTCAAAAATACAAATTACTATATAGGCCTGCGTCTAAACCATCTTTGATTAGGAAATGCTAGCAGCCTTTTGGAAAATTAACTGTTAAGGTAAGAATCTAAGCCTAACCCCACACACAAATTATGCAAATAAGTAATACTAAATGTCAAAGACTTTACAATGGAAACTAACTCATCTTTTTTTGCATTTTAAAGTATTATCGGTTTATGGTGACAGTCTCTCCCTCAAACTAAAATCCATAATCGGGGACCTCTATGTATAGTACAACATCCATTTTTTTCATGTTTGTGTATCATGATGTTGCATAGGTTCTAGTAGACAGTAGGGGAAAATTACGTATACGTTATGGTTTTTTAAGCAATGCAGCTCTAGATATTCAGTAAACAAAACCTGTGAATAAACAGGAATTTTGGACAATAATCAAATAGTCTATTAATCTAGGTCAGTTTTGAGTTTTACTATCTTTTCTTTCCAAGGTGAACACAAATGTACATTTGAGCAAAATTTTGTAAGACATATCTCATCAGAGACAAAAAGCAGAAGGATGATTAGGATATGCAAATGTTTGCCTTTAATAGATAAAACGTTGGATATCTGACATAGATCTGATTTGTTGAACTGTAAGAATGGGGCTGTAGATTATATCATTTTTGCCCAAGCCTGTATAAGTTCATCTCTTCACTGTTTTTTACCGGAGAGTGGCGAGGACTGACAGCTAAGCCAAGCAGAAGTCCACTGGCCTGCTTGTCGATGGCTGGGGCTCCATACAGTCACAGACACTAAGCCTTTGTTCTGGGTCACTCAGACACCACCAGCTGCAAGAAGACACACCAGGCTTCACAGCGTGTCCCTTTGCAAACTCTCTTCCTCCTCATTATGTGTGAAGAGGGCCAAAGCTCATTATTGAGGACAGTCGGGCACAAACAGTCCCTTGAAAGCTACGAGAACACCAGAATTTCCACAGGGCAAGAGACCTGGGTTTGTCTTTCTAGGATCTCCAGACTGATTGTTGTCCTACTTTGCCTACAACACAAGGAGCAATTGTTGTGTCTCTGATGCATCTGTGGGCCTTTGTTTTTTATTTATGTTTTTTTTTTTTTTATTCTTTGTACAGAACCCTACTGGCGCAAATGCCAAGGAATAATTTTTTGGGACCAAACATTCACCAGAGAGATTTTTGTTCATTCATTGTTTTATTAAATCAGTCCTAAGTATTTTATATTTATTTATTTATGCCAACTGCATGTTTGTCTATGTATAGCATTTTTTTCTCTGTATCCAAAATTAATAGTTCCTGATTACAAAACTATAAAACAGTAAAATATAACAGTTTTTAAGTTTGCACAACATTGTCAGCTACAACAGCACTGGCAGGTCTTGCCAAACAGGTTAGGGTATTTTTGCATGCAGCTTGTTCCAACAACAAAGTGAATAAAGGGTAGTTTTAATTAAGCAAAATCACTATGATGAGAATCGTTATATATTATCATAAAAGATATCATAAAACATCCTAAACCTATCAAAACACTTGTGAAATAAGAATGTGGCCAACAGCCACGGCAAATAGCTTCAGGTATTTTTTGCATTACTGAAAGCTCTCCCATTCATACAAAGTTTACTTTACCCACCGATGGATTTCGCCCCACTTTGCATTGCCGTGACATTTTTGCTTCAGGGATACCTCTGACCTGAATTATAAAAATCTGTTGCTAACAAATGCAATAAACATGGACTCCGGCGTGCAGCACGCATCCAGATGGCACAAGTTTTCCCAAACCCAGTAATCCTGCGGCAGAGCTGTCATTAGGCGAGAGATTGAGCAAGAGGTAGCAAGCACAACAGGAAAAGTTGCCCGACAATTCCAGGAAAGCCAGCTCCACCTACAGCAGGAGCTCCGGCCAAAGCCTCGGAGAAGAGGAGGAGAGCGGACAGCAGCGAGTGGGAGAGAGGGAGTCAAACACAGAAAACAAGCGGAGGGGACGGGATTGTTGCAGAAACCTTGTCCTCACAGGCAGGTCAGTGTCCCTGCAGCCCTGCCCATTCAGAAATTCAAAGCATCAGGATCAGTTTCAGCTTTCTTTGTGCAACTGTTCCCACTGATTCATGCAGCACAATGCTGTTGACTCAAACTTTTCTTGGCAATTCCAACAGGGATTCAAGGGTAAAAGCTGACAATACAACTAAGATGAGAGATTTAAGACATAGCCAAGCTATACAGTAAGATCATAACTCCCTTTGCAGCCAATAAACAAATAATGAGGAATAAATAATCAGTACTGCTAGAGGCAAAACAGCTTTGGAGTATTTCACACTAGAGCATTATTGTACAGCTTGCAAAATATCTGCACAGTCTCAAAGGGGAACGTTCAATAAGACTAGAAAATGAAGCCAAACATGACTTAATATCACCAGCAACATCTACATCTGTCACAGCTGGCCCTGATGTGTTGAATCAGAGCAGCCATCTGCTTACCATGTGCGACTATTTCCAAACACACCCCTGCTGGGCTCCATTTTGATTCTCCTGTCATTCTATGGGTTTCCCCAGAGAGGCTATCTACACTCAGAGACAGACAAAAGGTGGTAAATATTTTATTAAAAAAACCTTTGCTTGAGTTCAGACAAATGTTAAGGTGGAAACTTCCAGGGGGAGAGGGAGACATGAGGCGAACCAGACGGAGATTCCCTGAGCCTTGAGCAGAATAGGAAACTTTTCAAATACCAGCTTAAAACTGTGAATTATAAAATGATATAATGCAATATAAACACCATAACATTTGCTCAAGTTTCAACTTTTTCTAAAAAAAACTATCAATTGTGAGGTAGAATGAAAATGACTAATCTGCCACTCTGGGTCCCTGAGCAAGACCCTTCAGTCCCATGTTCCCATGGTGCCTCAAGCTGCCCACTGCTCTCCAACAGATCGGTTAAAGGGGTACATACAAGTAAATACAAAATGACAAATTTGACTACCCGTTGTCTTATCCTTAAACTTAACACAATTTAAAATATTTTGCAAATAAAAATCTGAAAAGTGTAGCATGGATTTGTATTCAGCACCTCTTAATCTAATACTCCAAATTAAATCCAGCTTCACACATTTTACATTTTTATGCGTCAGACATTAACCATGTAAAGGCCATGTAAAAAGCCAGAACACTAAATAAAGACAAACACTACTTTCCTACAACCTTTGCTAACAAATAGATGCATATATATAAATATAAACATCCGTGCTTTCTAAATAAAAGGTATAGTGGATAAAATTATTTCTTTTCCATTGTCATTACTTACCGACTTGTATCAATAAACATTCTGCATAAAATTGATATTTACAAGTACTAATATCTACAAAAATTGATTATTTGATAGGATTTTATAAAATTGTTATTTATATATGACTTGAACATACACATTTTCTCTTTACCCCATTTAACACAAAATCTATCTCTGAAAAGAGCATGAATTCTGTATTTATCATATTTGATATTAATATACTGATGTGTAAATAACCACAAAAATTTTTTATGTTTTCAATATTCCACTTGAAAGTATTACTGCTGCCACCATCTGTATTGGATGGGGAAAAAAATGGTAGGGGGGGGGGCTATTGATTGGCTAAGGGTGGCCATGGCCCCCCATCTAGCTCCACCCCTGCATTTTTCCAATCCTTCTGTAACATGCTGTTGGTCTATCAAAAATCAGTTCCTGGATGCAATTTGAAAAAGTGGGTAAGCAACACTTAGCAAAAAGTAGTATACTTGAAGTAAATTCTATTAAGTATAACTTTAGATAGTATACCGAACAATTACTTTTACTGTAGCCTACTTGAAGTATTACTAAAGTAATGCTTCTTCGAACTAAATTGGGACATTTTTAGGTTTACTAAAGTATAATTAAAGTATACTTTAGTAAACAATAAAGTAAACAATATTTGTTAAGTATATGAAATATAGTTTAGAATAAGTCAACTCTAAGTGCACTGCCTGGTTTTAAGTATGAAATTAGTACATTTTTAGTATATTTGAATAAACTACTTGCTAAAGGAAAGCAGACAGTATGCTCGGCAATGAAAGAAATATATAGTCTTGAACAAAGGGATTCACCCAAAAAAAGATGAACTGACATCTGGAGTTATATTTTGATTAGGAAGTGATGGATCCTTTAGGGATGAAAGAATGAAAAGGTCCCAGATATGACAGCAATTTCCTGTTCAAACGATCCCTTGTCCTTTTAGTTATGATATTTCATCACCCTTAATGATAGTCCTGACCAATGTAAGCTATTCAGAGTCTGAAAGATTGTTATTTCTCTCTGTCTTCTTTCCAGGGCTGACACATAACATAGTTATCTGTAATCCTGCTGCTAACGTGGCTGTGACCAAATGAAGGGGGCTGGGCTGCAGTCACATCAGCAGCCAGCTCTGCTCAGTAGTGGCCAACTCGGGCCTAATGTGATTTACAGCTGCTGTGGCACCATCCAGCTGATTAGACTGACTAATCTACCTGAGCAGCAGCTGCACACATTACCCAGATCAGCGCTAATGGAGCACGCGCGGCCTCAACACAGGCTGTAGTTTAAATGATTAAAGAGTGCAACCTAATTACTAACCGTAGCATCTCCACTACTGGATTTCCAACTCATCTGTCAAACATGTTGGCATGGAGAATAACTGTGTCCTTTGCTGATAATGAACAACAGGTGAAAAACGCAGGGTTTAAATAAAACGTTTCTGACATTTCCAATGCAAACAAAAGTGTGGTTGTGTTTAAAAAAAAAAAAAGGTTATTTAGTTTCCTGTCTTGCAGTCTACGCAGCGCAGGTCACTCTGGTCAGCAGCAACTTTCTCATTTCCTCTGCGAGGCTTGGCAGGTGCCATCAGCGGGAAAACACCCTATCCTCTCCACGACCACAGGAACTTCAGGGAATGTGACTTTCCAAGCATGCGGCTGCAGCCCGCTACCCTCAGAGTTCATATAAGAGGGAGGAATGTCCCAGATGTTAAAACTATTCTGAAGCTTCCTGTGATGAAATTGCAATATAAGTTTTCATTAAGTGCTTGTAAACAACAATTTGAAGCAGTCGTTTAAAAAGAATTAAATGGTAAAGAAAAGACGTAAATGGCGACATCTTGTGGTAGATTCGCGCAACTCACACATGGAGTTATGTTTTCAGGGTACCAACAGCTCTCTTTCTAAAACATGGAAGGTATCTCCACCAATCTTATATTTGAAAAAACAAAGAGAGGTGGTTGATCAAGAGAGAGAGAAAATAGACATCAATTTGAAGTTATGATTTTAAAATTAGAATGCCACAAGTATCCTGAAAGGGCATGCGTCCCTCCATTTAGTTAAAAAGGAATGGAATACAAGAGACTAAACTACTCACAAAACATTGGGTATTTGGTCAGATATATAAATCATAAAAATATCAAAAGTTTCAGTTTCAGGGAGTTCTGTGCTTCTTCCAGCTTTTTTTATTGTCATTACACTGTCAAAAGTACAGAGCAATGAAATGAACTCTCTGCATTTAACCCCATTTCCTTGGGGAGCAGTGGGCTGCCATTGTGCAGCGCCTGGGGAGCAGTTTGGGGTTAAAGGTCTTTTGCTCAGAGAGCCAGAGTGGCAGTCTATGGGATAGGGGCTCGAACTCAAATGATTACAAGCTCTATGCCCTAAACACTAGGCCACCACTCCCCCCTACTGATAATATCACACACCAGAACTGTTGAGATTAGCCTTTTAACTCTACATTTTTTCTAGTTTTTCCTAAAGTCACATTATTAAGAATATATTAACTAATTCTAAACAAAAACTTCAGAGAATCTTGTCTTTTTCAAAAAAGGAACTTTAAATGACATATTGGGGAATAAAAAAAAAAACTAAAAAAAAAAAAAGAAGAGAGAAAAATCTCCTTTCTACATAGGCATTAGTCAATAAAATATAAACAGAATTATTTTTAATGCTAACTTGAAGCACTGCACCTTCTCTTCTAGTTTTGCACTTTTTGGGGTGTATGCAATTGTCATAGGGAATGCAGTTTTTCTTCTTTTATATAACCCCAGATTAAGTCTTAAAGACTAAGATTAATGGCTTGTCCAGGATGAGCAAAGACCATCATGGCTGTCTGCCATCCTAAACAGCTGTGTAGTTTTTAAATGATCATTATTATAATTTTTTTTTTGCAGAGCTATTTAATTTTTAAACATTCATTTTGTGTACATTATCTTTAATCATGCAATCACCTTATTGTAAAACTGGTTTTCATTTTAATAGAAAACACAGTTAGCAGGTGTGTCACTGTGCACCAGGTGTTGCATGAAACATGAAACTGTCAAAGAAGCAATCTGCTTTATAAAGTAAAGTAGCAGAAAAGATGGATTAAATAACTTTTACCTGAGCCACTAAATTATTTCTAAATTTTACAACATTTTGCTGTTCTATCGGACACTTACTTGATTGAGAAAAATATTAAGCCTGCATGTTTTCCTTACAGAGCAGTCCTAAGTCCCACATTTCTTATGTAAGTAACTCTGTGAGGCAAACTAATCCATATATGACTACCGTTTATTTTAAGACTCATAAAATAGCTTTTCCATTAAATACTAAGGAATCTATTCTTATCATATAGTTCTACTTTGGTCTTGACCTCTTTTAGAAAGATGTCAGCTTCAAAGTTTAAACAGAACAAAAATATCGTAATAATCCAAGCAATTCAGTGGTTGAATAACCACTGTAAAGATCTCCACATGTGTTGCCATGGTGACCGCTTGTTATCTATTAGTCACAGTAGTGATCAGACGTGGTATGCTGTGGTGGAGGCATGTCTTGCATTCTTCTTCACAAGAGCCAGTTACTATTTATAAGAAAAAGTTATTAATTAATAGGAGTCAATAAAGCTTGTTTCTCTCCTCCGCGATGGAGAGGAGT